GCTTAATAGAATGGTTACAACTAAGCACCATTCAGGTTAAAAAAAAAAAACCCAATTAGTGTATAGCTTAAAATTAGAAATTAGGAACTGCTCCTTCTGATACATCATGCAACCCACACACGAAAAATGAAACAAAACCCTAAATTGCAGTAGATCAACTATATTACGCTAAACCCTTAACAAACAAGAACAAGAAAAACTAAACTTAGAGAAATCAAATGAATCGAAAAGGCAGTTATTGATCTAGAAAATGGATTATCACAGAGAAACAAGTACCGTTAGGACCTACAGAAGTGCATGTGATAGCAGAGAGCTCCTTGCAAGCATCAATATTCTTCAGAACTGCCTCCTCAAGACCAGACAGATGCTTGTGCCCTTCTTTCAGCATAGCCTGAATCCCGTATGGCTGCATTGAGAACCCCATTTTTCCTATTCCCTTCTTAATTTTTCTTCTCCTTCGTCTTCTTCTTCCTCGTAGAACCTAACCCTAATCGAGAAATGGAGGAAAACAGAGCAACTCTGAAGTGAAGTGTGTAAGTGGCGTGACCCGCAATGCCCTAGAACCTTTGCCCAGAATGAATAAGAAACTCAAAAGTTACGTAAGATTTACATTTCGGTCCATAGAATTTAGAACTTCAGAGATTAAAAGATCAAACAAATTTGTCCTTCCGAATTGTTACTCAAATTTATTTCATTATATTTTGTGCCAACTGGTGCTGCCAAATTGTACCGCAATACAATTTCCTTTTTCTGGTATTGATTTGGTTGCTCATCATATATTTCAGAGGTCACGATGTCACATTAACGTTGATGACATTAACATCTTCCCCACTCCAAGGAAGCTAATTCATTCACTTCAGGATCCTAATATTGTTAACTCAAACTTCTTTGAAAAACAAACAATGAGGTTCAGAAGTCCATCCTCTAGAAGATTCCGATCCCACCCATCCCAAAGGCAAAATGGTTTTCAACATGAACTGATGCATGAGGTTAATGGGAAGGAAAGTTTATGCAATAATGATGAGCACTATGAAGGTGTCTCTGAATCTGTATCATCAACAAATGATAGTCCTACTGATGGTGATCTGCAAGTGTCTCATGAGGTAGTTCCTGTTATGAAAATTGAAATTCTGAAGTCTAGCAACGAGGTTAGCCGTTGGAAGAAAGGTTCCAAAATGCTTTTGATGCTCTTTTCCATTCTACTTGTAGTTCTCATAGCACTTATATGTAGTAATAGTTGGGATGAAGGTGATCATCTTGTCCCAACATGAAACTCCTTTTGTTAGGTTTTTTTTTTTTTTTTTTTTTTTT